CGCCCCGCCGTGCGCGGTGTGGGAGGGGCGCGCGGGGCACGGGCGGAGCTCCGGGAGCAGCGCGGGAGAGACCGCGGGAGCTGCTCGGGAACGGGGCTCCGGCGGCGGAAGAGAAGTGCTGAAGAAAAATCAAAGACGAAAAAGGCAATTTAGTTTTTATTTTCCCCCACTTTGCGTGACGATCCCGAGTAACAGTAAAATGGTCGCCGCGTACAGGAGCTCCCTTTTTAAACCCATGATGGCGCAGGGCTTTGATCCATGCTGTTTGTGGATGCTTTGACTGCACAGGTCGGGTCCCTCAGAGGGACCTGCTCAGCCCCATTGGAGTTTAGCATCTGACTGAACTGCTTGACCTCCCTTTTCTCAGTCAACAGCTCCTTTCAATCTCTGCATGAATTTTCTTCCACAGTTCGTTATTTTTTTGTTATTAATGTGAGTCATTTGTTGTATTTTATCTCTCGCGTAAAAAAATTGTACTTTTACTACATCATTCTGCTTATTCCACTGTAATGACTGTGGCCATGAGGAAGAATTAACCCTGCTGAAAAAAACTTGCTGGCAAGACCAGGGTTGAAAGGTACTTTTTGGTAACTGGAAATGAGCTGCCTTTTTGCCCTGGAGAACAGCTGCTTTGCTGTACCCCCGTTCTGAGGCAGCTCAATCACCCAGGCATTCACTGCTTGTGCATGACTGGATCCATCAGAATAGCACAGGGGAGAACATTTATTGGAAGCTCTTCCTATCTGTCTTGGGGCTGCATATCTAGGAATATTTCCTAATTCACAATTAAAATCTCTACATTAAATTTTGCAAGTACAGGTACCTAAAATTAGTCCCTTACTACAAGTACTTGGCCTGCTTTGGGGATACTTTGTTTTCCTGGAATGCCAAAGTAGATCTGGTTCAGATATTTTAATAAAGATTTTTGGATCCTACTGCTTACCCAATATGTAAATATTTGTCTTTAATCTTATGCCTCTAGTGAAGGCATAAATTACCAAATAAATAGAGGTAGACTTAATCCATAAAGCAGTATCTTATATATGCTTTGAGCATTTTCCAGAGTGTACAGGTGGATTTCCTTGTATGGAAACTACCACTTGCAGTGTTCTGTTCTAGTTGGATAATAATTTGCTGGCTTCTCCTCACCTCATTATTTGGTACAGCTACTTACTCTTCTTCCTTTTTTTTTTTTTTGCTTCCAAATGCTGCTAACCTAGGGAGCTGTTAGTGAGGTAAGGCCTCAATCAGTCTTGTCAAGGTTTGCTTTTGATAGGTGTACTGCTCACCATCAGGGCTTTTGTTCAGACTCCCCAGTGTGGTTTTTTTGTCCTGTTCAGGGCAGGGAGTTTAACCAGGTGGCCTAAAGAGATCCCTCCCAACCCCAGCCATTCTGTGATACTGCAAATCCAAACTGTAGATTTACTTCCAGATCGAGAAGTAAAAAATAGCTTTTCTTCACTAATAGGACTGATGCGTTGTAGTAAATAGTGTAGAAACTTGGTTTAAATTAAAACCTGTAAATATTTAATCTGATAACAGGGCAGAGTGAATGGGGGCAGTGTTACTGATAAATCCAATCAATATGGAACAGAGGACGTTACCAGGGTGGGTTGAGAATTTTCTCGCAAATTTCACTTGTGTGTGTCAGACCTTTTTTGGAGATGGTGACCTGAAAATAATCAAAATTTGGTGGAATGTACCTTCAGCTAAATGTATATTTCCTGGCTGCAGGAGCTGCTGAAGTTTTTGTGTAACTTAATTAGTGGTACAGTCTTGCCACTAAAGTTGTAGTGTGTTCTTTATGCTGTGGCCACAGTGCATGCATGGACATGGGCCCATCCTGGCCCAGTGCTGCAGTGAAACTTGTGCTGAAATCATCTAAAATCACCATTCATTAGTAAATAGCCTGTGTTCATTCTTTAAGTGGGACCATTAAAAATGTTTCTTTTTAAACATCCTTCTTATCTCTCCCCTACCATGCCACCCTTTCTTTTGTTCTGTGTTTTTCTATGCTCAGGTACCTTCTGTGTTTCCACATCATTTATAAGTAGTGGCCATGCTGTTACTGAAATGATCTCTTCATTGTTATGGCTTTGAATCCCCCCAGTTTCTCTTCCTATTGAAAAGAAAGAGTAAGAGTAGTTCATATTTCAGATATCTAATGGATTCATTTTGTTTGGTTGGTTTTGGGCTTGTTTTGTTTTGTTTTATTGGTTCTATCAAGGCAAAATTCCAGTTAGCATAGAGGGTCAGCAATCAAAGTCTGCATTGGCTATCTCTCCTCATATTGTCAGCATGACATGTGAAGGGATGAACAATTATTTTTGTGGTTTTGATGCTCTTCAGTGTCAAAAGTTTCAATATTTGCTGGATTTATACAAATGTAAATTCTGTTTTTCTAATTTTAATTTTAAAGACTAGGTTTTAAGGGGCTTTAACATTGTAACTATGTAACATTCTAGAAATTACTTGAAAAGTCACATACTTTTATTTAATAATTACATTTAAATATTGCTCATGCTTTGCTTTTGTCTTTTTTTTTAAGGCCTCTCGAGTGATGGTAGCATCACGTAACTATGGAGACTTTGCAAGTGAAGCTACATTTGAGATTAAGGTAAAGAAGAGCACTTCATACTGTCATTCTGTGTAAGCATTTGTTGCAGATCTTAGCCTGATGAACTGGTCCCCATATCTTTTCAGTTAGAAAATACACTTGAATTTCCAGAGCCAAGCCCCTTACTATCTGACCTGATTACTAAGTGCAGCTGGAAGTACTGTGTTGGCAGTGTGGTAATGTTACTTGTTTCTTAAGAATGTGAAGTTGTGCTTTTTTTTTGCAGCTGTGGTATTGCAATGCAGCTGTGAGACCAGAGTCAGAAAGGAGCTAAAGAACCTTTTCTGTTCTGTTCTGTTGTTTCCTTAATGCTTTTCAAACAATTAGGTGTTTGCAGCCTATCCCAAACATGCAGGTGGTTGAGGTCTGTGTGGATTTTTGAGGAAAAAATATGGCATCCTTTCAATGCTTGACTTGATGCTGCTCAGAAAATATGTGTTATATTCTTTCAGCTTTCCACTGTGGCTGGGTCTCAGGAAAAAGTGATGTTTCTGTTGGCAGCAGCTTTTGTGCTGGTATTTCATTCAGGAACTGATGAAAGAAAATATGAAAGAAATAATTTGGGTTGTTTTCCACTCTCCTCCCTGTTTGGCTGTGCCTGTGAAGTATGAATTTTTTTTCCTGGAAGGGGAGGAATATATGTTTATATGAATCTGTATGTATCTACTGTATGAATCTTATATGTATCTACTTTTTTTGAGTAGATACAAGGTTTAATATTTGGTCCTGTGTTGATGACAGGAAACTCCAGAGTTTCTGTTGGTCTGTGAACTTTGAAGCAGAGTTGTCTTGAGTAGTGTGCCCAGGTGTTATATCCAGTTCATCTAGGTGTCAGTGGATTTGCTCTGGAGTGACTTTTGCTTT